CAGGCATCTTCAGGGTGACAATGTTACGATAACAAGAAAAACTTCTTCATCAAAACAAAGAGGAAAAAAAGAGAGAGAGAAACCTAATATACAAATGACTTTTCTCGATTCACTTACAGCGAAAATCGTTGCATTGCGACCTCTTTGTTTTGAAGTTTGTCTGGATTTTGTTCTTTCTTTCAATCTGAGGGGTGGAGCTTTTCGAAAACTCGTTCAATCATTGGCTGATTAGTATCAAGCTCCGCCCCCAAGTCGCAGAAAAACCTAAATCCCAACTATTTCCTTTCAACATTGAAGTCGCGATGCAACGGTTTCTGCTGTAATTAACTATAAATGTTGTTTTCACAGGGACTTTGACATAATTGGTGATTTAAGAACACCTGAAGATGGGACCTGGGCTCGATTTGCAATCAATCTTCATTTGACATGATAAAACATTCTTTGCATGATTTAAACAAGGGGGAGGGCACACGAGTTGTGCATCTATTCATGTAAAAAAAAAGTATTTTGTATTTTTTCACAGGCAGCCCATCAATAAAATTGATTGAGAAAAACAAAAGCAAAAGTTCTCTTGCTTGATATTTATGGCTCTTCTGCGGCATTATGTCATTATCCCATGATGCTCTGCTGAGAGTTGTGGGATCATGATGTAATATATTCCACAGGAAATCCAATTTGTTTAAGTATGGGCTAGTGATAAAAAGAAGCAAGTACTGAGGTTTTTTCAAATACAGAATTCTCAATCAATGGTTGGGCTGCCTGTGTACGTCAAGTATACCAAAGCTCACACCTGTTTACGTAACTGTGATGCATAACTCKTCATCTTACAGCATACTTACATTGCACTATACAACAATACTTCATTCATTTATTTAATTTATTCTTGAGGTAGTAAAATACTTGGATTACAACAAGCTCAGTTTTTTTGAACTTTACAGATTTTGTTTCGTATTGTACCGTAAGCCGGAAATCATGTGATTTCGGTGACAAGAACACAAAATATCAGTAAACTTGATCAAATTGACTTCTGATAATTTTCAAAAGAGCTGATTTCGAAGTGATGGATTTATGAATGTTGCATTTAATGCTTCTTTCACATATATTTTATGTTGTAAATAGTTTTTATAATAAAAATTTAATGTTTTTTATTCTGTCTTTGTGCCCTTATTAGCGGCTTTCTCGCGCTAAAACAACGCGCAGTGCACGCATGCGCAGTATCGGGTTCAAAACCCAGATCCGTAGACATTTATTAATTTGTTTCTTTGCGTAAAAAAATAAAATTCATTTAGGATAGCACAGTTACAAATTTATTGATTGCAGTCTCAGGTTTACAGGAAAGTCAGT